GAGACCAGAGTGATGTGTACCAATAAAATGACCACAGTTTAAATTATGGCAGTCAGTGGGAGATTTGCACTGTTCTGAGGTAAATTGGAAAAAGTGTACTGCTGTGCCTTTCAGGTGAAAGTAAATTGCTTCTGGTATTCTCTGTTTGTTAAATAGTTTCAGATAAAGCATTTTCCAGAAAAGTAACTGCAAAGCAAATGTTGGGAAGTGACGATTTTTAAAAAATATATATATTTTATTTATTTTTTTGACACAGAGAGAGAGAGAACAAGAAGGGGGAGTGTCAGGGAGAGGGAAAGGGAGAAGCAGGCTCCCCACTGAGCAGGGAACCTGATGTGGGGCTCAATCCCAGGACCCTGGGATCCTGACCTGAGTGGAAGGCAGACACTCAACTAACTGAGCCACCCAGGTGCCCTGATGATTTGTTCTAGAAGAAAGACTTCATCTAGAACAATAGGCATAATTTCAGTCACCACTTGATTGGTTTGTAATCGTCTCTGGTCATTCTCCTAGACCCTTTCATATTTTCCATGGAGAAATAAGTGACTTGTTTGGAAATAAAATAGACATTTCTGAATACTTTATGGCTTTGGATATGGTGCTAATATCTGTTGAAGCTCACCTTGGGGTGCAGTACCGCTTATATTAGACTTTTTTGGTTTCTTTAATTTTTAATTTATTTATTGATTTGGGATGGCAGGGGGTGAGGGAGAGGGAGAGAGAGAATCTTAAGCAGCTCCATGCCCAGCATAGAACCCAACACAGGGCTTGATCTCACAACCCTAATTTCATTACCTGAGCCAAAATCAAGAGTCGGTCCCTTATATAGGTGCCCCTATATTAGACTTTTTAGAAGTACAGTCTTAAGTCTTCTGTTTGCCTCCCCTCCCATGATAGCATTCACTCCTTTTATCAAAGAGTTTCTGTGGGGAATTTTCCAGCAACCAAGTTTGTCTTTGCAGCTGTTCCTTCAGGAACCAAATAAATAACTATGGAATAGAAATATACATAGACATTGGAATCTCTTGTGAGACAGACTTTGGCCCAAATTCCACTTAATTCTTAACCTCCAAAAGCTTTCACCTCCAAAAGCTTTCACAATGACTTTCTGTGCCTTAAAGGATTCACATAATTAAAAGCCAGTGGTCAATAATCCCCACAGTTCTTGGTATTTATTTCCCCAATTCAGAGTTTTTCTGGCAAGTAGCTATAAATCTCTTTGAGTATCTGTAGAAAAAAACTTATATAGTATATCATTATTTCCATGTCTTAGGGTCTTTCCACAAGGATTTGTGAATTGGTTCATATCTGGGATCAAGTGGCCATCACTGTCATTCATGTGCCTCAAATCACACCTTCATTTCCTGATTTACATTTGTTTGTTTGTTTGTTTGCTTGGAGTTTTAAAAATTAAGCAAGACTTTACAAGCCTGCCCATGTTTTAGAGTCCTAGAGATCCCACGATCAATTAACCACCAACAAATATTCTAGTGGGTCAAACAATTGTGATTACTAAACTAAGCTATTATTTATTTCAGTAACAGATCATTGGTTTTTAGTGATTAATTACTGCCACTGGTACTCTGCCAACTGGAGATCCCATCATCTCCAAGTCAGAGAATCTGTTTCAAAGCCAGGATCTTTAGAAGTTTTCACCTGGGCCTAGCAGAGACATTTGTTCCCGAACATTCTTCAAAAATATTTGTTTTTACACAGTTGATATATATTTTAGTCCTTAGTTAAGGAAGTGTCCTTGGGGGCCCTTTCTGGATACATGATAAAGGGGAAAGTGAAAAATCAAACTCATTTAAACTCAATTAAAAATACAGCAAAACTTAATTAAATATGCTTATCTGCCTAAGCCTTGGATTCCTCCACTCCATTATCTAAGGAATTTCTGGTATCTCAACCTCATTTTGTATAGGCATCATTGAAACTAGATGGAAACAGAAAAAGGTAGAGCTTTGGTCAAATACTGTCTCACAGTGGGCTGCCAGTGTCTAATAACCCCATGATTATTTCTCAAGTGTATTGTATTGTACTGCAAAACCCAGCAAACCAAGAATTACTTTTTCCATATTACTTTGAGGTTGAGGTTTGGGATACTAATCAAATACACTTGTGCTGACTAGGAGCACCTAGGGAGGATTTGAAGGAAGAGAGAATAAAAGTAGATCACTAACTATACACAGTATAAAAGCCATTAAAAGCTTAAAGGCAAGTATCAAAATAAATTGAGCTGAGAACCAGACCTTTGAAACATTTTATCATGAAGTATAAAACTGAGAATTTTCTAAATTTTACAAACACAGAGCAAAAAGTGAGAGTTTTCTGGAGTGTTAATAAAATGAAATAAACTTTGTTAAGTTTTTCTTTTTCTGTGTACTTGATAACATGCATATTAGTATGGTAGTGCAAATAATTTACAAAATAAACATGAAGAGAAAGGGTATTTGCTTTAAAAAATTTACTGATGGGGGGGTGCCTGGGTAGCTCAGTGGTTTGAGCCTCTGCCTTTGGCTCAGGTTATGATCTCAGCGTCCTGGGATCGAGCCCCGCATCGGGCTCTCTGCTCAGTGGGGAGCCTGCTTCCCTCTCTCTCTGCCTGCCTCTCTGCCTACTTGTGATCTCTCTGTCAAATAAATAAATAAAATCTTTAAAAAAAAATTTACTAATGGGGACACCAGGGTGGCTCAGTCAGTTAAGCATCTGACTTCAGCTCAGGTCATAATCCTGGGATCCTGGGATCCTGGAGTCCTGGGATTGAGTCCCGCATTGGACTCCTTGCTCAGCAGGGAACCTGCTTCTCCCTCTGCCTGCTTCTCCCTCTGCTTGTGTGCTCTCTCTCTCTCTCTCTGAGACAGATAAATAAATTGAAGGAAAAAAGTTACTGATGGAGTGTATTTTCAAAAAAATGTGAATACTACTGATCTAGAAGATGGATCACGATGCCAAAAGTTATTGTGTACAGTACTTCAGCTTAAAAAACAAGCAAAATTCACAAAAATATTATGAATTCATAAATGCATTCACATGTGTATTTCTGTAAATGTTGTCATTGTTAGACAATTCTGTGCCAATGGCTCAACTGTAAAGACCTCACCAGATATGAACATATAGCTGCTTACTTATATTTTAAGTAATTTATTTTCATTCACCCCATCTATGATTTTGGCAACCACTGCATGACAATGATATAGGTTAAGAAAAAATTTATCAGTGTTCTCCTTCAAAAGAGATTTGAATAATGTATGTAACAGGTATGATTAACAATGGACCAGAAAGACCAGGTAAAACCTATCAGACACACTTCAAATCCTGCATTGGGGTTTCAGCCACGTTCTTAAATATGCAAAACCCTTCTTATTAAACAAAAGGGCTTAATCTCAAAAATGAATCCTTCTAACTTTCATTCCTCGTCATATGGTCTTGTGATGGATAGAACTATAGCAGTTCTGAAGATTATTTCTATAAAAATAATTCTGGAAAACACATAAGAAAAGACTGTGGATGTTTATATTAAATCAATTAAATCAATGAATATTAAACAAAGTCAGATAGTTTTCGTAAGAAATATAAACCACCTAATAGTAATGCATTAAAACAGTGCACATACTACAAAAAATATGATACCCTGTACAGTACTTTTCAATAGGCTTTCTTATTTTGCTACAGTTACTTTTCAATAGGCTTTCTTATTTTCTTAAAAATGAAATTGGAATTACTGAATAGCAAGAGCAAATCTATTTTTGACTCAGCCATATTTTTTAAAGTCACAATGTAATAGAGATATTTTACCCTAAATCCCCCTATTTCTCAAAAGTTTTATACTTTTCCCATGACATTTTCATCACCCTACCAGAGGAGAGATGATGAAACTTGGAACATAAAATCATTAGCCAGAATGAACTCATGTAGAAATATTCAAATCATAATAGGATATGGATATTGAATGATTAGGATTTATAAATATCTAAAATATTTTAACAGACTCTTTCCAATTTTTTCCCATCTAGATTGATTCTTAAAAATGCAATTAAAAAAACTAAGATAATGTGAAGCAGTGCATCTGCTAATCCAAAAAATTTAGACTACAGGAAGACAACCTAAGCGGTAAAGGTGTCTCCTTAGAAATAATTCACTATATAGAAACCCACAGCAACAAATGTAAGACATTTGTTGTTCAGAAGTCAATAAACACCTCCACCCATCTGAATATTGCTAACTCTGAGATATGCTACTTTGAACTGATGTGGAAAATTTGCAAACTATGTATTTCAGTCCAGTTGGCTAACCTCTAGACTTACTTTTATTGCTCTAATACTACCTTTTATACCACACAATATGAATTACATAAATAGCATATATTTGAGTAATAAAGGGCTTTACCAAAAGTAAAGTAACTTGATAGTACCTTATTTTGAGTACTGTCATTCATAATAAATAATCAACTGCTCTTCTCTACCACTGATCACAGGTTTCTAGGCCTAAAAGGGTAAGGATTCTGTTTTCTCTTATATTTTCCTATGGTTTCTCCTATGTTCTTCCACAGACAATAATGATAACAAAGCAACAGCAACCCAACACTCACTCAGTTCTTGCTAGGGGGGTGCCAGAATTTTAGCAATTTCATGTAATACGTACTCTCAGAACTGCTCTAGGAGGTAGGTATTATTCCAGGGCTCTGGTACAGATGAGGAAATGAAGGCTAAAGGAAGGTTAATCAGATTACCCAAAGTCAAACAGCTGTCCCTGTTGGACACGGACTTTGAGCTGATCCCAAAGTTCATGCCCTTAACCACTACACTGTATTGAACATACTGGAAAGGAAATGCAGTATCTGTTATCAAGGGGAGAATGGATTTTACAGACTCTGATGTTTGCCTTGGACTCATTTTCTCTTCTATACAATTCTAATAAGAACACAAACAGTCCGGGGGCGAGTTCTCTCCAGACCTTTCATGCTGCATTGGTGAGTACTTGCAGAAATCATGGCTCACACCCTCTGGTTCTCTTTCCTGTTGGATCTGAACGTTGGTCTTGGTGGTCTTAAAAAGAGGAAAAGGAGCACTGAAGCTGGCCTCGTGGTGCTGATAGTCTGGTATATAGCCTGGGTGCTAGTTTCAAACAGGATAAAATAAATAAGTAAGTAAATAAGTAAGTAAGTAAGTAAGTAAATAAATTTTTAAAGATTAAAAAAAAATTAAAATAAAGAGATTATGGCTCACTTTTCCTCTGTTGTGTTGCAAATGAGGTGTGTGTGATGCTGCGACACCCAGAATCCAGATCCTCCCTCCAAGGCTCATGCAAGTCCAGGATGGAAGAAAATCTGGGGATGGTTAGGAGAGTATGATTGTGGAGAACAAAAATTTATACAGTATGTTTCTTCTTAAGTATAAGTTGACAGACTTATAGTCTTTAACACTTTATAAAACATACATTAGTTATGCAAATTGATCTATAAAAATAAATTATAAAAATAAAGTGATATTTATAGAAAAAGCTTCATTAAAATTTCCCTTTGAACATCTAAAATAGTATCTACCTATAGTTATTATTCAATGAACAGATATTTCTAGTATTTTTTAAGAGACAGCATATTCTTTGTTTACCGGTGTCAGCAACACATTTATTTGATAAATATTTCTAAATATTACTAAATCAACTCAAGTAGTTTTTTTTTTTTATTACCAGTTTAAGATACTAGTATATTTAACCATTAAAAAATGAGAGAATGTTTTAAATAGCATTTTTTTCCCTCAGTGATTTGCAGGGAATTCAGGTAGGGATGGCTATGAAGAATGAGTCCATCTTCCTATGTTCAGTGCACTATATATAAATAAAATTAAACAAGGGGCTCCTGGGTCTCAGTTGGTTAAGCATCTGATTTCAGCTCAGGTCATGATCTCAGGGTCCTGGGATGGAGCCCTGTGGAGAGCCTGTTTCTCCCTCTTCTTCTACCCCTCCTTCTTGTGCTCTCTTTCTCAAATAAATCAATAAAATCTTTTTAGAAAATAAAAAATAATTTTAAACTTGTCAACAGTTAAGACTAGTCACTAAATAATAGAATGGAAAAGAAATATTAAATCTTTGCATCAAAATAACGCCATTTGGCAAATGATGTTAAAAATAAGTATTTTGTTTTATACATTTCATGAATTTCTCAAATGCATATACTATACCTAATGATATCTTTTCTTTATGTCTTTTCTGCTATACTTTCTTCCTCATCAAAATTCACATAAGCAACAAATTAATGTATTTGATATTTTAGCATAACAGCTTGATCTTTTCTGAACCCAAAACAGGACCAGAATTGGGATGTTTCCTTGGATAAAGTCCTTGTGTGATATAGAAAAAAATCCCACACATGTGATCTTATTCTTCTTCTTCACTACAATATAATTCTGAAATAGCAATCCTGGCCAAGATCTCAACATTGTACAGGTTTATGACTGGCGATGTGCCATAAAAGTAAGGGTTGTTAAACTTCCACAGTTCCAAATATATATGTTCTTCAGGAAAAGTGACAGTAGGCCTTAGCAAATTCAATCTCATTGAAAATTATCCTGTAAGACACATAATAAAAAAGCATTGATGTGAAAACTTGTGCAGAATGGACAGAAATACAAATAATCCAGTGAGCAGACAAATTCTGAGCTACAGAATGCAAGGTTGGTTAGATCCATGGCAAGTAAAATATGGCTAGATCCCCTCTCTTCACTTCATCCAGTATGCACATTTTCATTCTATCAGTTCATATATAACCATTTTGTTATTTTTCTCATTACTAGTCTAATTGTCACTAAGAAAGAAATAATAGCAAAGTTGTAGGTGTGGATTTTAGCATAATAAAATTGATTTGGAACAGAAAATTTTAAAAATTACAAGTATGAAAATATTTTTCATCTACATAAAACATAAATAGAAAGCCATTTTTTAACTGAATTTTCCTGCAATGTAGGAAAATATTTCAAAACCATGCCATACCCTTAGGAAGTCCAAACAGTTGCAGTCCAATGTGTAACTGTTGTTGTCAATGGGATGGTGGTGTGGACATTGATCTCAATAGAGAACATTTTTCAAAATGAAGGCTGAGCTCATATTTCTTTCCACTATGGTCTCCTATCTCTCAAATTCTTTAAAGTTACATAAGCAGCTCATCTGTATTATCAAAATTATCACTAAAATAAGACATCTTTTAAATCTCTCTCATCCCTCACTGCCAAAGTGATTGTCTCATTTCAGCTTCCCTGCCAAAGAAATTTGCACCGATTCTTTTCCATTTTCTGCAAAACGTGCTCTGCCTCGTGACCCACTTTGAGTTTTCCTGGTTAGTCCACTGACAGTATACTCTTCTCCATAATACCAAACGAAAAAGCTATGCTTTGAGACTGAAAAACAAAATATTATCTACATGAATCAGGGTCCATGACCCATACCAGAAAGTGGCAAAAGGCTGAAGATGACATTCTCAACTTCTCACTGTTCTTAAAGTTTCATTGAAATATTCTACCAGATAGGGCCTTGGATTTGGGTTCTGTGATTGGTTAAGCATCTGAATCTTGCTAAGTTTTGGTTTCCACACATAGATATGGTTATCCACACATAATATGATAAGCAATCCATGGTTATTTAGGATAGCAAGTAATATGTATAAAAATGTTAGTTAATTGTAAAGTTATTAAAGTTACTCTAAAGTGCTATTATTGCAGCTGCTGACTGTATAACTAAGGCCACACAGCAGTTAAGACAAACATGTATCTACTCCTGTTTGTGGATGGTGAGCTGGCTGTGCGGCACACATTTTTAAGAACACAAATTCCTATTGCAGAATTAAGTTGGAAAGTGGTAAATCACTCCCAGGTACTTATAAAAAGACACTTATCTTGTTTTACCTTCTCATGAGTGTAAAAACTCCCTCCTGACTTTGGTTCAATTCAAACGATGACTCTTTACCCCCCCATATGGAATAGGCACAGCGCTCGATGCTAAGGGCCGACAGGAATCAACACTCGGGCCAGTTCTCCCTATTGCCCATGTTCTAAAGAGCTCCCAGGTTTCTACTTCTTCCTTTAGATACAGTGTCAGCAAAATTATCAAAGTCAGAGGATACTTAAAACCAAAATAGACATTGATCTGGCAGAAATGCGGGGTGTGAAGAGAACTTTAATGCAAACCAAAGCCTGTATTTTGGTCAGATGTAAGCAGGTCGTGAAGTTCCTCTCCACAAAGAAAGGAACAAAGTCTGAGGGAGTACTGTTATCTGCAAAGTTGCTGAAATTCATGAACTGTAGATGGCTTGGAAGGACTTCTGACTATTAAAAATGTCTTCCAGGGGTGCCTGGCTGGCTCAGTTGTAGAGCATGCAATTCTTTTTTTTTTTTTTTTTTTAAGATTTTATTTATTTATTTGACAGACAGAGATGACAAGTAGGCTGAGAGGCAGGCAGAGAGAGAGAGGCGGAAGCAGGCTCCCCGCTAAGCAGAGAGCCCGATTCGGGGCTTGATCCCAGTTTCCTGGGTTCATGAACTGAGCCGAAGGCAGAGGCTTAACCCACTGAGCCACCCAGGCGCCCCGAGCATGCAATTCTTGATCTCAGGGTTGTTAAGTTCAAGGCCCATGTTGGGTGTAGAGATTATTTAGAAATAAAATCTTAAAAATGGCTTCCCTAGTGTATCAGTTTTCTAGGGCCGTAACATCTAAATACAAAATGGGAGGCTTAAAACAACAAAAAGGTATTCTTTCAGAGTTCTGGAGGCTAGAAGTAAAAACCAAGGCATTACTAAGATGATATTCCCACTGAAGGATTTGGGGAAGAATCTGTCCTCCTTCCACCTCATTGCTGGGGCTCCTGACAATCCCTGGCTTGTACGTGCATCATTTTAATCTCTGCCTCCACCTCCACGTGACCTTGTGTCTTCTCTGTATTTCTGCATCCAAATCCTCCTCCCCTTTCTCTTATAAATGTATCAGCCCTCAGTTTTACGCCTTATTCTAATCCAGGATGCCCTTAACTTGATTACATCTTTTTGGTTCAAAACCTTCTCAGAAGCCTTTCAGACATAATCTGAAACCAGGCCCCACACCCCAAGATCAGAGAGAGAGCAAAGAAAGAGGAAGACCTCTCCCAACTGGCAGGTGGTTTAATAAACAAGGGAAAGTGTGTTTAATAAACAAGGGAACTTACGTATGAAACTTGCCTTGGGCAGCTGCAAGATCAGATCTCTGAATCCACCTGCCAAATTGAAAAAGTTTACATAGAGGTCCTAACATGAACTGTCCAGATGAACTCAATGCCACATTGCTCTCACAAGGTTGTGTCCTTGATAGACTTCTGGCAGCAGGTAAGTCCAGCAGAATGCAAGAACAGGGAAAGGGGTAAAGAGCCTCTGATTGCCAGGTTCTAGCTCAGAGGTCAATTGGAGGTCATGTCCTCTGGATGACTTCCCCCAACACATCTGCAAAGACCCCATTCCCAAATAAGGCCACATTCATAGGTACTGAGGACTAACACTTCAGTATATCTTTTGGGGGGACATAATTCAAACCACTGTACCTAGTAAAAGGATTTAATTCAAGATAAAACAAAGGGAATTAAGGATTAGTGATTAAAGTACTAAATCAGACCTATGTGTATTTCTTGAAAACCAGTTTTAATCTAAGTATACTATCTTTTAGAAAAGTATTATATATTGGGACACCTGCTTGCTCTCTCTCTCTCTCTGAGTGTCTCAAATAAATAAATAAATCCTAAAAACGTAGAAGATATTATCCAGTTTTATACCCACAGAAAATATTAAAAAGTCTAGAGAAAATGTTAAACATGAGCAAAATAACAGTTGAAATAAAGAATACAATAAAGAGTTCAAGAGTCACATAAATTTCATGAAAAAAAAAAAGAATATTTGAATCAGAAAGTATGGTACTATTCCAGAAATCACCAGGAAATTATAAAGAGATAAAAGACAAAGGGAAAGATAGGAGATATGGAACATTGAAATAAAAGTGTCAATCTATCCAGAAGATAGAATTCCCTGAAGGAAAGAAAAATAAAAAGAGTGCAGGAAATATCTGACAAATAAAGAAAATAAATTTCCTAGGATCAAAAGAAAATGAATGGTCAAGTTGAA